CCATCCCTGGAGGTTTTTAAGGCCAGGTTGGAGAAGGTTTTGTGCAGCCTGGTCTGGTGGTTCCCTGCTCATGGCAGGGGGGTTGGAACTGGATGATCTTTAAGGTCCCTTCCAACCTGAGTGATTCTGTGATTCTATGATCTGCAGGAAGTTTCTGCTTTCTTAGAAATAACCATCAGCAGGGGAGGGCAGTTGGCTTTGGAGGGCTCTCTGGCTTTCTCTTGGGTTTTTTTTCTTCTATTTTTTCCCACCAAAGCGCTGCCTCGAGCAGGCAAAGAGGAGCTTTCTGCTGGTGTCTTCATGGTGGTGCCACGAGCAGGAAGGCAAAGGCTTCACTTGTGCTGGTGCTGCTGCCTCCCCTGGAGCAAGCAGCCCTTCTTGGCTGGGAGGTTTCTCTGCCCATGTGATTTGTCAGGCAGGAGAAACCTGTCACTGGCCTCAGCTAAGGTTACAACCAGCAACATCTGCCCGTGTGCCACGACAGTTTGGAAGCCAAAAAAAATCAAATATCATTTCCATGTTGAGGAGGGAAAGGAGAAAGCCTCTTATTGCCGGGTTGATTTTAAAAATAAAGGCAGCTCTTGGCACTTGTTGCAGGGTTTAAAATGCTCACCTAAGTCCCAGGAAGGTGATTTAATGGCCAGAGAACAAGAGGAGCTATCAGAGGGCCGTGATTACAGGTATTTAACACGTAGCTGTCACTTCTGCAGGAGTGATCTGGGGTGGGGGAGAGAGACCTTGCAGATGTAGGGCAAGAATGAGGTTATTTGGATCCCATGGGGCAGAGGGAAGGGTTGCAGAGGAGCTGCCTCTTCCCAGGAAGGTGTTTGCAGCTCCTCTGCAGGTGTTCTGCTCTGGCTGTGGCCTGTGGAGGCTCCAGCAGGAGGTTTGGTGGGCAGGTGTCCTGCTGCTGTCCCTGCTGGAGGCCTCTGTTCCAGCAGGGCTGGGGCTGAGGGTGCCCAGATGCTTTTTAGAGGTGGCTGTTGATGCCTCCACCTGGAAAAAGTGCTGAGGCAGCCCTTGTCCTCAGGGCATGTTGTCCTGACCTGCTCCAGCTGCCCACCCTGGGGGAGATGGCTCAGACCCTGCTGGGACAGGCTCTGCTCCACTCTCTGGAGAAGAACCCTGGGCATGAAACCCCAGTGGAGGCAACACCAATGTCATCATGGAACCAACATGCCCTTGGTGGCACCTCTTGGCCAACACTCACTGCTTTGTAAACTTCTGCCTCTCATTTGGCACCTACAGGTTCCTGGGTGACAAGATCCCAGTTCCTCGCACCTGTGGCCAGGGTTGCTGCCTCCTTCTCCATCCCCTTCCCCTTGGAGTCTGGTCCCAGCAGCAGCTTTGCTGGCTTTGCCATCACCAAGTAGATCTTCCCACAGGGCTGTCCACAAAGACTCCCAGGATCTTTCTCCCCAGAGACCAGCACAATTGGAGCCCATTCTTGTGTGCCTGGAGAGTTGCACTTTGGTTGGTTGGGTTGGGTTTGGGTTTGGTTTTCCCCAGGGGTTCTTGGCATTTGTGGACACTGATTTTTTCGGTGCCATTTTCTCCTCTCAGTTGCAAGACAGCTTGGGAGTACCAGTTCTGCTCCCAGCACAGATCCCTCATGTTGTCTTCCCAGCACAGATCTCTCAGATGCTCTCTCCCAGCACAGATCCCTCAGATGCTCTGCCTGCTTTGCAGCAATGTCAGCACCCCTGCTTTATGATTCCAGAGAGCAGCAGAACTTCCCACTGAGCTGTAAAGCCCTGGATCCAGTTTCCTGCTCTCCACACAGCTGGGAAGCTGCTGGATGGCTGGGATTGTCCTGCAAGGAGAGGTCAGGGTGGGTTTAGGTTGCAGGGAGTTGGTGCAGAACTGAATCCAGTGCCCCAACCTCTGGGCAGTGACCTGGTGGGAGTGATGCTGTGAGACTGGGCTCTGCCTGCCCTGGGGCAGCAGCTCCTCAGCAGGAGAAATTGCATCTCAGATGGGGTTGCTGGGCCCTGGAAGCCAAGCCTGGGTGGTGGGTAGGACACAGCACCTGTTCCCCTGGGCAGCATGTGGCCCCCTTGCCTCCTTGTGTGCTGGGTAGGGACCTGTGTGAGGAGCAGAGCTGGGGCTGGCACCTCCCTGTGTCCACACATGCAAATATTTCTGCAGGTTTCTGCTCCTTTGCCCTTTTTTTGGTGTGTTTATTTGTTTCCCAGAGGAAAAAAAACGACCTTGCCATGGGGATGGCTGCTCTCTGTCCCTTGAGGAGCACGTTTGCAGCAGCTGACAGCCCAGCAGGTGCTTTCCTGAGGCTTCTGGAACAGGACAAACACCAATGTTGTTGCCCAGTGGTGGAGCCTTGTGTCCTGGGTGGTACTGGTGGCTCTGGCAGGGCTGCTGGCAGGTCACCCACCCCAAAAAACCTGCCAGGTTGATGCCTTGTCTGTCCCAGCACAGAGCTGGGGACCTTCAGCCTGCTGCTGGGCTCCTTGTGGCTGGCCTTGCTAGATGAGATGTTCTGGCCAGGCTGCCTGTGGTCATCGAGGCATCAGTCCTGCTGTCATCTCCAAATACCTCTCCCCTCTGAAGGCAGGGAGGGCAAAGTGCACCAGCCTCCCTGCTCTGCCCTGGCTGGGAGCTCTCCTGCCTGCCCCTGCTCCCTGCCAGAGGTTTCCTCATCTCCCAGCCATGGCTGGACCAGGTCTCAAAATGGCTCATTCAGCATTTCCAGGGCCAGTCCTGGGGCTTTGGGGATGGTTTGTTCAGGTGTTCCCTTAGCCACAACCTTGGGCCTTGTGCTTTGAACACTCCCCCTGGAATGGCCCTCAGGGCAGGCAGTGCCATGTGTGGTGTGAAGTGATCTGGGCTGGGCAGGAGGCTTCCAAGGGATGTAAGAGACTATGGGTGAAGGAATGAAGGGGGGAACCCATGTTATAATGGTTTGGGTTGGAAGGGACCTTCAAGATCACCCAGCTCCAACCCCCTGCATGGGCAGGGACACCTCCCACCAGCCCAAGTTGCTCCAAGCCCCATCCAACCTGCCCTTCAACACTGCCAGGGATGGG